ACACACACACACACTCACACTCACACACACACACTCACACTCACACTCACACACACACTCACACTCACACACACTTCTAAAGTTACATAAAATGGTAGATTTGTCTGATTTGAATTTAAAAAGTAAGACTGATTACCTGGTTAACTGCTAGTTGGTCAAACTAGTTCTTAAGACACAGTCTTAACATAGTGGCTATGTTTATGCAACTGGCCCTAGTTTCACAGAAGAAGGCTATTATAAAATGTCAGTGTCTTGATTTTGTTTAAATTAATATTTTGCAGTTAAAAAATTTATTGTAATAATTAACCAAAACGTTACAGCAGTGGGTGAGTAGCTGACAGATGTGGCTTTATTGTATTAAAATTTTGGCTTTTCAATACAAACAGTCTCTGAGAAACTGAAGGAAATCCTCCCCCTAGTAGAAATATTTTTTTTTTTTTGTATTGAGATATTGATTGATTTATTCTAATAAGGACTTTGACATAATGCAACGTGTAATATCAATGGCAAATCATCCTGTAGTAGAAAACCAGCTCAAATCCCCATATAATCTGAACTCTTTTCATATGGGTGATGCTGGTGTAACTGGTTAAGCTGGTTACTGGATACAGTATTGACCAGTGCAGCCATGACGAGTGACTAACATTCATCAGCTGTGATGTATGCAGTATGTAGTATGCATTATGAAGTATTCAGTATGAAGTATTCAGTGAGTATTATGCAGTATGTAGTATGCAGTATTCAGTATGTAGTATGAAGTATGCAGTATGAAGTATGCACTATTCAGTAAGTATTATGCAGTATGTAGTATGCAGTCTGTACCCGTGCTGCTGGCAGCGGTGACGCTCTGTAAGCCGCTCTCGAGCGCCGTGACTCTGCTCTTCATCGCGTCGAGCTGCGCGTCTCTCTGGCGGATCTGCAGCCGCATCAGCATCAGCGCGTCCTCATGCAGCTGCAGGATCTCCGACACCGCGGCCTCCAGCACGCACTTCAGTCTGCTCTCAAACACGGCGCTTCTGCTCGACATCTTCCCTTCCGGACGCGTCCAGACCATCGCGCTCTCACTGTAGCTGCGGACGAAAACACTTCCGGCTTCAGCAGCAGCGACCGTAAACACCGCAAGAGAAGAGCGGCAGCAAACAGTGCAATTAACAAGATTAACACAAAATTTAGTGGTCCTCAAAATCTCAGAAAAATAATCACCGACCAATCAGAGTGATGGTAATTATTTTCTTTTCTATATATAATTATTGTTAATTATTTCATTATAATTCATTAGGTACATGATATGTTTTACAAGTTACAAATATAGTAAAACAATTCAAAAATAAGATTGATTCAATTAATTCAAAAATAATAAAAATAATTATATATATATAAGGTACATGATATGTTCTAGAAGTGACAAATACAGTAAAACAATTCAAAAATAAAAATGGAAAAAATTAATTTATTAAAAACAA